AGTCAAATTGAACGTAATCGATCTGTCGTTTCTCGACAGCTGATTTGCAGAGTTTTGGCGCCGAGTTGTCACAAAGACGAACATTTAAGGGTAGTTGAGTAGATTTAAAAGAAAGTACTAAAAGTGAAAGTGATTCGGATAACGATTTCAGTTGCACCTTGAAGGTAAGCCAGAGCCATTCTTCTGTTTACGTGCTGAGAGTTTAGGGCTGCTAGGGGGGTAGGAACAGAAGGAGGGTGGAAAATGCTTAATGGGGAGCGCCTATAATTATTACTGGAGTGGTCAAATCGAAGTCAAGGAAGTAAGCAGGGCATGTAGCATGCATTGGGAAACTGGGAGATCCGTACCGTTGGCCGGAGAAGAGGCAAAAGGCGTGGTTGGAACGAAAATAATAAAAAGGACCATAACCCTTTCTTTATTTGACGCCTCGCAGGAAGTGTTCCAGTTTCCTGTTTCTGTATTCCAAAAATGTCTCTTCAGTGTCACAGTATTTCCACGTAAGCAGTTTTGCTTTTCTGATTCTCATTATTTAATCGCATTCTCTGTTCCACCATACACACTCTTGTTGCTTGTTTATCTTTACTTCCCATTTATCCGAGGTTATTTTTATTTTTTTCCTTTAGAAGTGGTCTCTTCTAATTTTCCTTTAAATATCTGCGTGCAATTCTCACAATCCTTTCTCTGTTCCATGCGTTATGCGTTTTCACTTCCGTGATTTTTCCCTTACCTTTTTCGTAAGGGCAGTCCAGTCGGTGTATTGTGCAGTCTAGAAGCCTTTTCGAAGAATGCCGTCTTCTGGGATGTGGAGCTCACGCTGGTTCCTCGCTCGCGGATTTTTTCTACTCTGAAGATGGAGGCGATACGTTCATCCGAAACGGCGATTTATACAGTATCTACACGGCGCCACATCCCATAAGACGGAATTCTTCATAGCCACCGCCGTGAAAAGCCTCAAATCTTGGATGGAAGCCTTTTTGCTACCTTTTCTTGGTTCTGCTATGGCGTTATAGTCCATGGAAACTGGAAAACGGTCGCTGTTCCAAGGGTCTGTTCAACCTTACAGGTATATAGCAGTGCTAAAGTTACGTCGAGGGCAGCCTTGGATCCTGTGGCGTCGGAGATGTGTGTCCGGGATCGCGCAGAATTGCGTCACAGTTTTGCATTAACCTCGATTTTTCTCCTTTGGGCCATGTCTGTGCGTGTCAGTAGTGTTGTTATGGTGCGGATAATGCATTTAGCATTGTGGCGAAATCTCATTTTGCGAGTAACCGTTCTGTAATTGCGCCTTATGGCGCTTGATACCTGCGTTCGTTGCTCCAAACATACAATTATGTAATCCTTGGAATGGGGCTCGTTTCCTGTGTAACAACAGCGACAGCAAGTGGCCCTAATTAACGTACGTTTAAACACTGACTTCAAGGAGTGCTTAAGGCACATACGAGTCTTCTTGCGCTGAAGTTTTGAGGCCAAAGATGATCGTCCCTTTTTTAATTCAGGTCCATCAGTGAAGGTAAAGTTTTTCCGGGGTTTAATTAATTAACCACACACGTGAACACGTGAAGACTTACATGGGAGTGGAGGTATGACTCAGTCTCGGCACTAGTAATTGCTTGTGAAGATCACAGATGGCTCCGGTGTAGTGGATTCGTAGCCCAAGTAGTGTTTGCCGGAGAAGGGCGGGGGGGGGAGGACCTGTTCTACCAGCTGGGGTTGCTTGAGCTATACGCATATGTGATGTGACGTGTGTGGGCGAACTGAGGGAGATGGACGAATATGACCTTCCTCACTGCATTCGGAAGTGAACAGACGACGAATTGCACGTAGCCGGCTGTTTGCGGCAAGCCCCACTGTTAGAGGAAGTCCACTGGCTTGTTCGGGCCTTGCGCCTACTTTCACTGGCTGCCTAAGAATATTTACATTCTCACTGATATGTAGATAAACACTGACTGTGGTTCTTATGTATATTAAGTGACCCTTTGACCCCTCCTCCACTTGAGGTAACCAACGTCCTTCGGTATATTTATTTGTAGCTCCGACACACAAAACGTTTACCGTTTGGCATACTTCTCTCCCTTGTTGGCATATCCTGAGATTGCTCTTCATTGCTGGTCACGTATTCCTGTTTCTCATCATGGGGATGCTGTTTCTTGAGGGCATTTTTGCCCCCTTTCACTACCATACCAAAGGAATTTGAATTATCTGGTCAGAGGCATTCACTGTTGTTTTGCATTCATCAACCAACAATGGTCCGCCGAGCAACAGTCGATTCTGTTTCCAAGGCAACGTAGTCCTTCCACCTGCTCAACTCAGCCTCTAACGGAAATAAGAACCACGAATCTTCCTGGGGGTAAAGGGCATCCGGCGCGTAAGACTGACAGCCTCACCGCCATCTGTGAGCCGATGGTCTAGAAAATGTGGAAGCCTCGACGTCTCACAACCGTATGGGCCTCCAGGGACAACTTTACCTTTACTACGTATTGTTTAGTGTTTGTTACAGTAGTTTGAAGGCACACTTACTTACGTAGGAGACAAGGGAGAGGGAATGGAGATAATTACACAGTGAGGGTGTTCATGTTAAATACGTATACCTGCGAGGTTAGTAGCTTGGACTGTGGGCCTATAGCTGAATCACTCGATGATAGTGAATATCGAATGGGGAAGAAGTGGTCGTGGCCTACTTCAAGGCAGACCTAGTGAAGAGTAGTAGATGTGCCATTCGAGGTTCGAACCGAGGGAGTGCCAGAAGCATTACCGCCTGGGCGAACCCGTGAATATACCAGGGGAGGGAGGGGCAAGGAGCCGGTGTGATGGGGAGGTGCGACTGACTTGGAATGAAGTGACTCACATGCGGTCCAGCGGTGAAGTTTGTGGCCTTGCGATGTGTCTGTGTTATTCTCGTTCTGCCAGGATACAGGTCGGCCACAGTGAGCGCCGTAGGTGATGGTGGGGGGGGACTCTGTTCTGAGTCACTGACGAGTCATTTTATGCCAAAATCGTTGCAGACTACTTCGATAGATATAGATCGAGGCGGATTGCAATGTGACGCTACACCAGTGGGCCAGTATCGCGGAAGATTTTGTGGCAGAGTTTTGGAAACATGGCCGAATACAAGAGTTCGTTGCCTGCATGCACCTCTTCTTAACCCTATGAGTAAGGGACGTTACTTTGTATAAGGACGTGCTGTCATGTGTTTACAGTCTTTGGCAGTTAAACAAACGGGGGATCTGTTGCCGAAGTCTGTATCACAACATTCTGTCTGTGCTTTAAAGGGTTCTTAGAGACTGATTCCGGCTCATGTAGGCCCATTTGGGCGCACTTGGGCCAGTAAACAGAGCAGCGCCGGCCTTGACTGTCTGCCCTGACGGCAACCTTTTGCCACCAATTGGTACATCAGGCTCCACGCGGAGACGGCGCAGGCTGTCAGGCTGATGTTGCAAGCCCAAAATAATCAATTACCCGCCGTGTTCACTCTGATTGAGAAATGTTTCCATCTCTCAAGGACATCATAGCGTGAATTAATGAGGAATCGACATTCTGCTATAAACGCAAGTTTGAAATTTAGTCTTTGATCGTTCTTAGATGATTTTGCGACGTTTTCTAAGCTATTACGAGTTTGTCGAGTCTTGTGAAGGGGGGGGGGGGAGGAGTGAATAAAACAGGAAAGTCTTAGCCAAGAAACGCTTCATATTGCGGTCGTCTGCATTGTGACACCGTGTAGTCTGGTAGGTGGGTATCAGTATTTCGCTGAAACATACTGCTTCAATATTCATAGTAAATAGCCTATGTCTGGCGAGGTTTCGAGTCTGCAGTCTCTCTCGTCTGTTCTACTTTCGAAAACTCGGAAGGTCAGGGTTTGCGAATTGCTTGGAACGCAGCTGGAACAGGCCCAGACGTGTGAGCACTTGATGAAGTTACAGGACGAGAACATTGTGTTATTGAGGTAGTGGTTATACGTGAGTGCAACAGGCTGAGAAGTTAAGAAATGCGTAGAGAATTTGGGCCCGGATTTTGATGACCTGAAAATGTTCAAAAAATGACCTATGAAATGACCGAAAAAAATCCAGAAAAATGACCTAGAGGAGAAAAGAAAGACCACTTCGCTTCCATGTTATTCACATTTCAGAAAACATATGAAGGAAAATTCCCTAAAATGGCCAAAAATGACAAGAAATGCCATTAAAAGTCCAAAAATTTACCAAAAAATTATCTTAAAAATGAAAAAATGACCTTAAACCTAAAAATGTAAAAAAAAAAAAAAATACAAAAAAATTACGTATACAATTTACATTTCTGTAACCAGCAGCTCATATCCGAGATTTATATATTTAAGAGCATCGCATAGGATACAAGAAAAAAAGATGACACGTCATCAAAATCCGGGCCCTGCTCATTACCATGTTCATCTGTCTCTGAATCCTGCCCTAAGCCAGATCTGTCCATCCTACACTCTCCCACACTGCTCTTTTAAGGTCCGTTTTAATATTATGCTTCCATTTACGTCTAGGTCTAACGAGTTATATTTTTCATTCACCTTTCCCGATTAACTGTGTGTGTGTGTGTGCTTATTGTATCTGATCCTCCTTGAACTGATATCAGTTTCCAGCACGTTCTTCTAGGCCTTCTTGGATTATCGAAAAGTGGGATTTGAAATAAACGCGATGGCTATTGTCCCATAAAGGCACATGCACCTCGTGATTTAACAATGAAAATATCTACATGTTGGGACATTCTTGGATATCTGAGCTACTGGCAGCTTCTCGAGGACTCAGCTCCACGGAGTTAGTCGTCTGGGCTGTGAGGCCGTGCAGTCTGGTGGACAGAAGGCACCGCCATGAGAACCCGAGGTCCAATATTTTGCAAGCTCCGCGCGGATTTCCGCCATTGTTGCGAGAGACATTGTAGGATGCAGTGGTAGGAGGGAGACATGGGGTGGCTGGAAGGGGCAAGGAGCTGCAGACTTTCTCTTTATAGCGAGTGAGGTGGTTAGCAGCGTGCTGCTGTCAGACAGTTGTGGTGCTCTCCTCTTGGCTGCTGGTAATAGCGGGAGTGTATGTGACGTCACACAGCAGCAACATTGCAATGGAACATGACCGCCCGTCCCATCGAAGGGCTGCAGCTACTTGGACGTTTTCGCAAGTTACTGGTGGCATCACAGCTCCCCACTGCGTCTTTGTGGCCGTGTTTGTAATCCTCGCAGGAGTCTCAGGTGAGAGCGCTGTGTCGGAGCTGTCGCAACTCCTCTTGCATTTCCTGCTTGAACTTTCTACTGTGACGCATCCCAGTGGAGATTTCTAACCTCAATTCTATGTTGTGCTACTTCAGATAGTTGTTAAATAAGACGGCGCCTCTTGTCTTTACAATGTGCAGGCCCGACGTGTGATTCCTTTCCTTGTCAGCAACGCAGGGCGCAGTGGCTACAACTCTGCAGAAGGAATAACACTCAGTTTGAAAAATTAATGTTGCTCGTATAATTAAGGAAAACATGTTACATAAAAGACTTGAACTTCTTCAGAAAATCTCCATTTTCAAACCCCATTAAGACAAAATGAGAAAAAAAAATATTTTCAGACGTTTCGGGTAGGCCTGTTCGTAAACTCCACTTACCAAATTTCTTCGAATTCGTTCCTGTAAGGAGTTATGCCTCGAAACCCCGAAAGTGGCACGGTCCACTACGTGGTGGGTCTGCTGAAGGGCACAACGCGACAGTTTCGTGACGTCGTGAGGAGAAACTGCAGATCCTGCAGTGGGAAAGTGTTAACATCTTAAGGAGTTACCCTTGACGCTTACACGGAAGACATTGGTTCATCTAAGTTGGGTCTGCTCGGTTACATTGAGTGTCCCCGCAAATTCCGGGACAGTGCGATTAGATACTGAGTTTCATTTCAGTTTACGTAATCATCCTTTGATATCATTTGAAGCTAAATTTCCTCTATAGTTCACACAGTGTGGTTCAATAGCCCTTGCAGGAACCATTACTGGTGGGCACATATTTACACAGGGCAACGTGCACCTGCTCTGAGTTGGGGGTGTATAAACGTGGCAGAGTTGTTCAAATTGAATTTCTTCGTAGAAACCGGAAGTGCACCGCTCAGCTGAGCCATCAGGCGACGCACTGACGCCACGTTTCTACGTCACACAGGCCCAGCATTAATTTCCGAGCCCAGTTCCTGCTTTCATCAGGTCTCTTATGCGACTCCACTGAAATCCTTCTAGTGCCTTCTCCCTGAGCAGTCAGTGTCATTAACAGAAGTTCTGGGACGTGACTATCGTTTCGTGGGAACATTGCTTCCATCTTCAGGTAGAAGAATAAGCACTGGTTCATAGTCTCGCCCGAGAACCTCAGATTGGCTGCTGCGTGTGATATAGACGGTCAGACAAGTGAGGCAGTTTGTGCCCCGTCAGTTTCAAAGACGCTTGATCGAAACAAGATTTAAGAGAAAAGCCGGTCGTATTAATAAACAGGAACATTTTAACTTTTCTGTAGGGCGGATATTGCAGTCAGAAGGTGACGGGCATGTGGCTGCTCGTTAGCCTTGATTGGCTGGTGTTAATCCGTATAAGGACGGGAAGCACCTGCGACTTCTGACTGTAGGTCCGTCAGCAGACATGCCCGCAATATCTGTGATGGGGGCGGGTTATCTACCCAGCTGTATTTGGCAGAGGCCTTGCGAAACGGTTGCTGCCTCTGACGCATTGTTAGAGGCCTGCTGCACCTTAATAAATCGACGTCGAACCCATCTGTAAAGAGGGCACTGCTCAATTTATGCAGCAGACCTTACATCGCGAAACGTACCCGCTCCGAAACGTCCCGTATTTATAAACCGGATGTAAAGTAGGCCCACTCGTCAGGCGATTTCGAAAGCGTGATGAAATGTCACGACGTGCTGATGACAGTTTTACGTGATGACACGTCTCACAGTTGAAAGCCAGTGTTAAGATTTCTGCACCTTGGAAGGCCTCAGTCCCACGCTGAATTTTGTCTTCATAAAGTTTACGAACCCAGGTTGCTCTTACCGTGCTTGTGAGCTGGCGGAAGGCATCAGTAAAAGTAGTTCGACAGGATTTCATGAGCACCGCTCTGTAACTCGTCGCGTGCTCGCCACGTCCCGAGGTCACCTCTCATTATAACAAAGTTCAGCTAAGTAGTGTTTGGACTTGAACGCGCGGTAAGCACACGACAAAGTTTTGCTAATTTCTCGCTTCTCGGATCCGCTGTGAGCTCTCTCAGTTGGGGTGCAGTGACGTAAGAGCCGAGTCAGAATGCGCATGCGTGCACGAAGCAATTGGCTGGAATGGTTCAGCTTTAGCATTAAGCTGTTAAGAGTTCTGCAGCTTTCGGTTTCGGTTGCTTTTAACCCAGTACTTGCTTCGTCGGCTGTTCTAGGCGTCATGATAAAGACAAGAATCCCGGGGCCGCGCCATAGCTCAAGCGGTTAGTCGCTGGCTTCCCACCGCGGCGGCCCGGGTTCGATCCCGGGTCTGGTCAAGTGGGATTTGTGGTGGACAATGTGGCGCTGGGGCAGGTTTTCTCCGAGTACTTCGGTTTCCCCTGCCAATCTTCATTCCACCAAATTCTCTGCCATCATAATCACCCGGGGCAGGCTACAAGAGGCCAGTCAGTGGACGCCGAGCCGAGAGGGCCCAGCTGGACTCCACCCCCCCCCCCCCCCCCCA